TTGATCATTACGCCAGAATGAGTATAGTTCCTTTCTAAGCTATCGACCTAGAAAATATCAACTTTTCCTTTTCTGTCAGCTTTAGCACCCAATGTTACTACAGAAGTCAAGAGTTAAGCTTCAAATCTTTTTTTTTTTTAAACGAGATGCTAATTGTCTAATCCAATTCAATTATTTATACTAAGGTAAGCTAAAAGTGCTCCCGCCAGACAGAAATCGACTCAATGGATTTAAAAAACCCAGCTGTTTAGCTCTAGGATGCTTGTAAATTGAACAACTTTCCAAAATAAAAATGGAGTGCTCCTTTTATGCATCTCTGTCTGTAAGTATATACAGCATCTCAACATGGTTGAATATTTTATTTTATTTTATACCATTAATCATTTTTGAGAGATGACAGTAAAAATGTTATAAAGACACAGAGTTGATGCATTTTATGTGTCCAGGTGAAAAACATCCCAGAAGTAAGAAGCAGCCTTGACTAGGTTCTTTGAAGTGCACAACAGCTGTGAAAAGTCTCATGCGCTGATAAGGACAGACTCTGTGTCACAGTGTACAAACAGCACGGCTGCGTTTACACACAAGATAAAGATAGACTGTGTACTTTCCTAAGAAAGCTACATAAGAATGTTACATGGGCACAACTTGGGACATTTGTTTTTATTTTGTAAATATGTGTGATATTGGCAAAGGATACAACAAGGCTTTGTAAGTTTAAGTTATTTATCAAACAGAGAAATATCTGAAATCATTAGTGAAGCTGATATGTTGAACATAAAAAATATTCTGAATTGATGGATCACATGTACAAAACTCTCTTTCATCTCAGGGTCAGTTAGATTTATTATTTATTTAAAAGAAAATAATTTTTTATTGAGCAAGGCTGCATTAAATTTATCAAAAGTGGAGGTTTTACATAGTTGCAAAAAAAAAAAAAAATATATATATATATATATATATTTAACTGAGATATTTTTTCAACACATTTCTAAACATAATAGTTTTAATAACTCATTTCTAATAACTGATTTATTTTATCTTTGCCATGATGACAGTAAATAATATTTTACTAGATATTTTTCAAGACCCTTCTATACAGCTTAAAGTGACATTTAAAGTCTTAACTAGGTTAATTTGGTTAACTAGACAGGCTAGGCTATTTAGTCGTTATTGTATAAGGATGGTTTGTTTTGTAGACTATCAAAAAAAATTTAGCTTAAAGGGGCGAATAATTTTGACCTTAAAATGGTGTTTAAAAAATTTAAACTCCTTTTATTCTTGCCGAAATAAAACAAATAAGACTTTCTCCAGAAGAAAAAACATTATCAGACATACTGTGAATATTTCCTTGCTCTGTTAAACATCATTTGGGAAATATTTTTTTAAAAATCAAAGGATGGTTTCCACAAAAATATTGAGAAGCACAACAATTTTCAACTTCAATATTTATTAATAAAATTGATTACTGCTTATATAAAAAAAGAGCAGCAAATCTGTATATATGAATGCAATATATTTTTAAATATTTAAAAAGTGCCCCTATTTTGGTTAATTAAAATGTAGTGGTTTTGTGAAACATAACAAACACATAAAACATTAAGATATCTCCTAAAAGAAAGACAGCAATTCCAATTTCAGATCAGTAACAGATCTCCAGCAGCTAGACAACGAAAGTGAAACAATTTAGTGTTGGAGGTTTCATGGATAAATTTGACCTGTCTGGTGGCCAATCTTCATGGATTGCACATTTCATTAGCAGAGTAAAAGCACAGCTTTGCTTAAAACATTGCAATGCACACAACATTATTTGTGACATAGGAGTTCAAATTTTTTGTGCTCATCTTGTTGGTGCATTTGTGACCAAGACAGCAAGTCTTTATGATGTATCAAGTGCCACAGTATCCAGCAAATATAATGTCAGCAAATCAAAAAAAGAAGAAAAACCACATCCAACAGGAGTAACTGTGGATGCAAGAGAAAGCTGTCTGAAAAGGTTGTGAACCCAGATTGTATTAGAAAAACATTAAACCACAGCTGCCCAACTCACCGCAGAATTAAACATGCACCTCAACTCTCCTGTTTTCACACAAACTGTCTATCAGGAGCTGCACAGGGCCAATATACATGGCAGGGCTGCTATAGCCAAACCATTGGTCAATCATGCCAATGCCAAATGTCAGTTTTAAGAATGCCAGTAGCAAAAATCTTGGCCTGTGGATATTGTGAAACATTGTTTTCTAATGAGTCCACCCTCACGGTCTTCCCCACATCCAGAAGTTATATCACCCAGACTGGTGAATGCACAGAGTGGAGTATGGGGGTGGATCAGTGGGGGTTTGGGTTGCAGTGTCATAGCATTCTCTAGGCCCAAAACGTGTGCTAGATGGGTGTGTCACTGCCAAGGACAACTGAACTAGTCTGAAGGACTATGTGCACCCAATTCTTCAAACACTATATCCTAAAGACGGTGGCCTGTATCAGGGTGATAATGCACCGATACACACAGCAAGACTGGTGAAAGAATGATTTGATGAACATGAAAGTGAAGTTGAACCACTCCCATGGCCTGCACCGTAACCAGATCTAAATATTATTAAGCCACTTTGGCGTGTTTAAAAGTACTCCTCCACCAGCATCACATAGTGACCTGGCCAATTTTCTGCAGGAATTATTGTGGTTTAAAAGCAAGTGTTTCAGTTTAATTGTCAAACCACTGTATGTAGATCTGTAATAAATGTGCTGCTTAGATGTTCAAGAACTTGAAAAGCTGGTTGCTTTTGTTATTTTTCTAGCATGACTTTTGCACTTTTGTCAAAACAAAATCTTTGAAGCTGCAAATTGACCTTTTTATGCACTCTGTTGGTAATGGTAAAATAATCTGTACAACAACAACAACAACAAAAACATGCTGTGAAATGTATGGTTAAAAAAACAGCAGCTGTGGTTGCATGAATGTTATCATTAAAAATACAGTAGAAATTGTCTTTTTATTTTTGGTACCATATTTTTATGAATTTATACCCCACTGTAAAAATGTGTTATACCAATATACCAATTCACTACCAAAAGCAATTGGTGACAACACAGTCACATGATAGACTCCTTTTAATCAATTAAAATCACAACCATTAAGATGGGATAGATGGGAAATTCACTATTCATAATGCGAGTTATATTTCCAACACATACTGTAAGTAGTAGATTAATTAATAGACACTGACCATCCTACCAATCGTTATACACTACCTGACAAAAGTCTTGTTGTGGATCCCAGTTGTAAGAGCTACTTATAATAGCTTGACTATTAGTTGATCATTTGGAAAAGTGGTAGAAGGTGGATTTTTCTGATGAATCATCTGCTGAACTGCATCCCAATCTTCACAAATACTGCAGAAGACCAACTGGACTCCACATGGAGCCAAGATTCTCACAGAAATCAGTCAAGTTTGGTGAAGGAGAAATTATGGTTTGGGGTTACATTCAGCATGGGGGCGTGCGAGAGATCTGCAGAGTAGATGGCAAAATAAACAGCCTGAGGTCTTAAGACATTTGTGCTGCACATTACATTACAAACCACAGGAGAGGGCAAATTCTTCAGCAGGATAGTGCTCCTTATACTTCAGCCTCCACATCAAAGCTCCCGAAAGCAAAGAAGGTCAAAGTGCTCCAGGATTGGCCAGCCCAGTCAGTAGAAATGAACATTATTGAGCATGTCTGGGGTAAGACAGGAAGGAGGAGGCACTGAAGATGAATCCAAAGAATCTTGATGAATTCTGGGATCCCTACAAGAACGATTTGTTTGTCATTCCAGATGACTTTATTAACAAGTGATTTGAGTCATTGCAGAGATGTATGGATGCAGTCCTCCAAGCTCATGGGAGTCAGACACAATATTCATTCTGTTTCCACTGCAGCATAACTTTATATTCTATACTGGACATTATTTCTGTCCAGTGACAAGACTTTTGTCTAAGCCAGGGGTCACCAATCTCTGTCTTGGAGGGCCGGTGTCCCTGCAGGGTTTAGCTCCAACTTGCCTCAACACACCTGCCTGAATGCTTCAAGTATACCCAGTAAGACCTTGATTAGCTTGTTCAGGTGTGTTTGATTAGGGTTGGAGGTAAAATCTGCAGGACACCGGTCCTCCAGGAACAAGTTTGGTGAGCACTGGTCTAAGCAAAGTCAGACCTTACTGTCCTAATGAAATCATCCAAAATTAAGGCATGATCATATTTTATTTAGGTCCAATAAGTGTAATCTAGAGGCCTTTGATTTTCATATAGGACACTTCAGATACCAAATGATCAACTAGAAGTCCAGTTATTATTCGTTGTTCCTAAAACTTAGATAGATGACAAGACTTTTTGATAGGTAGTGTACTCTCAGAAAAAAAGTTGTCACTGAGCCAATACCTTTTCAAAAGGTTTACTTTTTCAGCGTAATACCAATATGCACCCTTTTGGTACAGCTTGGGTGAATAATTAACTCAACTGCAAACTTTTGAATGATACTGTTGTTAAAACTATTAGAAAGAAACAAACAAATATGCATTCACCGGCCACTTTATTAGGTACACCTTTTCAACTGCTCAACTGTTAAGGCAAGGCAGTAACTCAATGCATTTATGCATGTAGACATGCTCAAGACGATCTACTGGTGTTCAAACCGAGCATCCAAATGCAGAAGAAAGGTGATTTAAATGACTTTGATTGTGGCATGGTTGTTTGTGCCAGACGGGCTGGTCTGAGTATTTCAGAAACTGCTGATCTACTGGGATTTTCACACACAACTATTTCTAGAGTTTACAGAGAATGGTCTAAAAAAGATAAAATATCCATAAGCGGCAGTTCTGTGGGCGCATATGCCTTGTTGATGCCAGAGGTCAGAGTAGAATGGCCAGACTGGTTCCAGCTGATAAAGGCAACAGTAGCTCAAATAACCACTAGTTACAACCGAGGTCTGTAGAAGAGCATCTCTGAATACACTACGTCCAACCTTGAGGCGGATGGCCTACAGCAGCAGAAGACCACTCCGGGTACTAGATGGTGTTCCTAATAAAATGGCTGGTGAATGTGTATATATATATATTAAAACAATTGCTTTGACACACACAAAAATGAAAAATACCAAAAAAGAAAAGCAATGCAACACTTAACTTTCTAACTGAGTCAGAAAACCAAAGGAACAAATCATGTTTAGGGCTTATTCAGTCTTGCCATATGTGAAGCCCAACATTTATAAGTTAAAGCCGTGATGAGACCTGCACGCAACAGTCTTGTTCCATTTGCTGCCGCTGTTTATTTAATGTTGTAACGTACTAAACGAAGCACTAAATTCAGTCAGTTTCACAGCTATTTGTCTGTGTGTTCGTGATCTCATTCATCACCAGTAAAACAAGTCTCCCTTCACATAGCAGCCAGAGAACTTATCATTCATTTTACTATATACCAATGGTATCAAACTCCTCAGCCTTCACCCGAGATAAACTTGGTGTTGGGTTCTTACCCTTCATATTTCACACTGTCATCTATGCTTGTGCTGAACCACGGACACTGGTGTCGGTGAGCTTGGTAAGTGTTCCTGAGGTCTGCGTATTACCATCAGTCTGTCCAGCTCCTTTAAACAGCGTTCCCAAACCTCCAGCTCCTCTGGCACTGCGCCGGGTGCTGCTTCTGCTGAACTCATCCACATCACCCCTACAGCACGAGAATGTGGACAGAATGCCTTGTCTGAAGCGTTTGTTCATAAAGCAGTAAACTATGGGGTTGACGCAGGCGGAGGTGTAGGACAGCAGGTGGATAAAGGATATTGGCGCTCCTGATAGGAGACTGTCTGCTGAGCGTCTGTCAAAAGCTCGCCAGGCATTAACCACGAAGACAGGCGTCCAGCAGAGGAAGAACAGCCCCACGATTACCAGTAGCATGCGAATGACCCGCTTCTTGGCCATGAGGTTTGCTGTGGGGCTGTTGCTGCAAACTCTTCTCAGTTTGGATTTGGGGTGGCTGGGCATCACCGGCTCGCTGCGCTTCTTCTTAGATGGTTGGAAGTAGCAGCCATCGCTGTCACCATTTTTCAGACTGGAAGTGCCGTATTCTTTCTCTAGTGAGTAAAAATGTGGATGAAATTGTATTTTTATTGCTCAAAACAGAGCTGAGTGGTTGTAACACTAAAGCAGCTTTCTCTACCATCTCTGACATTGATGTACAGTTGTAAAAGGTTGCGTTTATACATTTCTGGTCTGGTTGTAAAGCAACTATTTCAAACATTAATTTATTCATTCATTCATTCTTTCATTCATTTTCTTTTCGGCTTAGTCCCTTTATTAATCAGGGGTCACTACTGTGGAATGAACTGCCAACTTATCCAGCATATGTTTTACACAGTGGAACTCATCACTGTGAAACACCTATACACTCTTGCATTCACACACATAAACTATGGACAATTTAGCTTACCCAATTCACCTGTAGCGCATGTGTTTGGACTGTGGGGGAAACCGGAGTACTCCGAGGAAACCCACGCAAACACGGGGAGATCATGTAACCTCCACACAGCAATGCCAACTGACCCAGCCAGGGCTCAAACCAGTGACCTTCTTGCTTTGAGGCGATCGTGCTACCCACTGCACCACCGTGACGCCCCTATTTCAATCAATTGCAGTTTGTTTGGTTTTTTTTTATTCTGTTGAACCAGCCTGGGGTGCATTTCTGAAAACCATTGTTTCCCAAATCCATCACTCCATCGAACATTCGCAAACTGTGTAGCAAAATTGTACGACTGCAACTAAACCTTTAGAGCTGTAAATGAATGCGAAAAGGAAAATAATACTCATTTCATGAACCTTATTTTTTTGTTGGCCAAATTTCATATTCACAAGAGCAAGCTTTGTAAGTGTAAACCTTTTTTATTTCTAAATTTCAAATTGAAATAAAAATGCATTTTAAATCCAAAGAGGGATCAACAAACTTAACAGCAAAACGAATAAGGACTTTGATGAAGGACTTGGCAGTCGTCTTGGACTAAATGACTGATAACCTCTGGATTGTTGTTGTTTGGTTGATGACATTTGTTGTTTTTCAAGCATTCAATAAAATAAAATAAAAAAAACCTCTAGAGCTGTTGCTAGAAGCAGAGTTCCTGGTTGTGTTCTTTTTCATGTAATTCCCTCTATGCCCTATTCATTTAGAACATTGCAACATTTAAACTGGAAATGATTTAAAAACAAAAGCGTGAAAGTCATCCCTCTTAATTTACTTTTAAAGTATTATTACAGTTCTGTTTCAACGATCAGTTTGACAATAGCGTTTTCTTCGTAGTGAACTTTGAAAATATTTATGACAATTTGAACACAACCGTGGCTCATAACGAAACCTTTAAGTGACCTATTATTTAAAAGCGGAATTCACGTTACGTCTCTAAAGCTTGTGAAAAAATAAATATATAGCATACGTTAATGCTTTTAATTTACAGTAGGTTATTCATTAGGTATCTGTATATGTCAAGGGCCTTTTCTGCAATGATTTGCATATGTCAAATTGCAAAGGATGACTTTTTTTTACAATAAATAAAAAACAAATAAACAATAATAATAATAATAATAATAACAACAACAATATGAATTATTGTTATTATTATCATTATTAATTAGAATTTTTTTAAATAAATAGCCTACTGCACATTACCACCATTAATGATTAGTATGATTCATACAGTATACTGTATAGGTTAGAATAAGTGTTAGCTAAGTGGTTTTATGTTTTAGATTAAATATGGCTTGTTGTCAAAAATATTTGTAAAGTAAACATCAGCAATATGTTTTACCTGACATATATTTCAATTAATATTAATCAAGAAATGAAGGGTTTTTTCTCTGAAGAACTTGGTAACTCCACCACGTTTAGAGCATCATTATGGAGGTTTTACATTTTAACTAATGTGGTATAAACAATGGATCTGCGACAGAACAACTAGTTTTGGGAAACACAAGCCACTACATCAATTTTTTCCCAAACGATGCATCGTACTATGATAGTTCAGCCGCAAGTGATGTCATTGTTTTGGGAAACGCACCCCAGATCTCATTATAAAGTTTACTAAACAACACCCCTACACCCAACCGTTGTTGGAGGATACTAAATTATACTAATGAGATTGTACAAATTTATATGAATTAGCCACTAAATCAAAATGTTACGAATTATATTAATTATATTATATTAAATATAAAATTTGAAACAGCTCTATTTATAGAATAATTTCACAACAGAAATATTAAGCTGATAAAATCCTTGATATTTTGTCCATACCTCTGTTTGACTTCCTGTTAGTCATTTCAAATCTGATTCCCCTGTAGAGTTCAAGTGAGGTGAGGCCATAAGCTGTCATCATTATGATCCCAGGCACAAGAAAGAGTGTCAGCAACAGGAAAATATACCTTCAAAAATGAATGCAAAGGAGTCAGCCACAAGATCAGAGCTTAGCTGACAGTACAGATCTGAAATGTGTACAGGAATATTTGTATTTTTAGCTAAAAAAAGCAACATTGAAGGGATAGTTCACCTAAAACTGAAAATTCTGTCATCATTTACTCATCCTTAGTCATTTACTCATCCAAATCTTTCTACTTTTAAACACAAAAGAAGACACTTTGAAAAATGATGGAAAACACTGACTCTCATATCATTTTTCTTTTGTGTTTAGCAGAAAGAAAAAAGGAAACTGATAAAGGTTTGCAACCGTTTGAGGGTGAGTAAATAATGAGTACGTTTTCCATTTTAGCTGAACTATCCCTTTAAGACTTTCCATCATAGTCAAATCATTTAAGATGATTCCCTCACTCCATTTTAATCCGAACATTTTGGATATGTATATATAGTTGCAATCAGAATTATTAACCCCCCTGAATTATTAGCCCCCCTGTTTATTTTTCCCCAATTTCTCTTTTTCTGTTTAAAAGAGAGAAGATTTCTAGGACTAAGATTAAAAGATTAATAACTCATTTCTAAAAACTGATTTATTTTATCTTTGCCATGAAGACAGTAAATAACATTTCACTAGATATTTTTCAAGACACTTTTTTCCCCCCACATACTTGCTCTGTTAAACATCATTTGGGGCATTTGTAAAAAAAAAAAAAAGAAAAAAAATAAATTAAAAGGGGGCTAATAATTCTGACTTCAACTGTGTGTGTGTGTGTGTGTGTGTGTGTGTATATATATATATATATATATATATATATATATATATATATATATAAAGGGTGTCACGATCCTCCAAATCCTCGATTCTATTACATTTTCGATTCTAAAATCACGATTCGATTCGATTTTTTGATTATGAATAATTAATTAAATAATAACAAATTAATTATTAGTAGCCTACCATTTAAACTACCTGACTTGCATGGTCTTTGTTTTACCAATAAACAAATCATACAGTAAATGAATAAAGGTAAGTTACACACATAGTTACAACCTGTCAATCACGTTTTTCTGCGGGACTCGTGAATAGGCAATGATCTGTGTCGTCATAATGGCGTCGGTAAAAAAGATGCACAACCAACAGAAACCAGCCAACAGTATCTGAGGTGTTCGCTAAAATGAGTACTTGTGTAAAAGTAAAAGATGGAAACAGTCTGACTCGCTGACTGCCTTGACCCGCTGTCTCGAGCACATGACAATGTGTGTGCGTCTGTGTGTGAATAAGTGTGTGTGGTCACGTGATGTGCGTTTTCAGCGGTAGTGAGGAAGGAGGGCTGCTCAGAAATGCTACACGCCAGTGTGGATGTGGATCGTTGTCGTTCTAAATTGCCATTTAAAAACAAAGACATATTAGTGTAAACAGGGCCTGAGTGTGTATTTTTCGCGAGCGGATTTGCAACGGGTGCGGGGCGGAGGATCGCGTTGCGCCCATCGTCTATCATCCCAACCGTAATACGTTCATAGCAGAGCTTGCAAACTGTGTTTTTTTTTTGTCGACAACACGAACGTTGTCAACATGACTAACTGGAAATCCAAAATACTTCCACACCGGCGACTTCATTGAAAGAGGAGAGGGTTTAAGCTCTGTCGACGGGTCTCCTGCGTCTGCAGTTTAACAAGCACTTCAACAAGCATGTTTTTTTCCCGCTTGGCAAGCCAAGCTAACGTGACATGGGGGCGTGGCAGCATCGACGATTCTATTTTTTGATTCGATAATCGAAGTTGAGCATAAATTTCGATCGATTTCGATTAAAAATCGAAATTGTGACACCCCTAATATACATATATATATTAGGGATGTAACGGTATTAGAATTTCACGGTACTGTAATACCTCAGTATGAATGGCACGGTACGGTATTTATTGAATTATTTACAGGAAAAACAAAACTAATGAAAATACTCCAAAAAAGTGCCAAAAGTGTCAATGACATACAAATTAGCCATCTATCTGTAAGCTTTGAAACAGGAACTTCAATTTTAATAACAAAAAATTATTAAACCATGTAAAAAAATAAAGTTTCAATTTAGTATTGTTGAAAACTCATCACATTCAACATTTAATAACTCACTCACTTAGATAGAGATGGGTTTTAAGGAAAATTATTATATAAATATAATCTGGTAAAAGCTGGTCTCTCTGGGCACTTACAATGTCCCCTGCAACAGAAAAAAACCCTCTCATTTGGGACTGAGGCTTCTGGGACAGAGATATGACTTGGCCCATGTTGATAGCAGTGGGTAACGTTGTGCATTGTCTTTCCCCTACTTGAGAGGACAAGCCATGAGTGAGATAGAGGTCTCTTTGCGGTACAAGTCAATGTCTGCATCAATCTGAACAGTGTACTGTGTTTCTACAGTCCCCATGACTGTTATTAGTCGTATTCCCCAACTTGTATTTCACCACAGTCTGGCAGTGCCTGCATACCGTTTTTTTTTTTTTGTCCGTCACCTTTTCTCCTTTCTCGTATCTTTTTAGAAAGAAACCGAAATGCTTCCACACATCCAATTTAAAACCCGCTTTAGGTTCTATCATTTCCAGGTCTTTTTCATCCCCGCTACTAGCAGCACACTCCATTTCCGCATTACTGGATCTGTAGCGACAACAGACCGCAAAGGAGGATGGCCACGCCTGGGCTGATTGGAATTGTAGTTTCCGCTACCTCCCGTTCGCTTCATTTGCCTGGCCAAATTTTCTCAGAAGACCTATAGTTTTACCGATTCATGCGACTACGGTAATATAGAAAAAAATTGCTATTACGGTATGACGGTATTTACAATACCGTTACATCCCTAATATATATCTCAACACGCATATATTATGTAGAAACAAACTTTTATTTTGGCAATTAATCTTTGTCTAGCTCTAAGATCAAGCACATATTATTATTATTATTAGTGTATTTGTGTAAATTATAATATTTCAATTTTATAATTAAACTGAGATAATAAAACTGCACAAAAAATAATAGCAACTGAATGATTGGAATTAGTTTGTTGTCGATTGTAGACTTTAATACAATAATATTGATGTGCAAGTCATTAAGCCCCCTATAGTTAACAACTGAAATTTGAACTAAAATTTAAGAACATTAATGTTTTAGGTTTACTTTTTTTCCATCCAATGTAGACAAACATATCAAACAAAAGATAATTCCATTTTATAAAATGTAGATAAACAATATTTTACAAATTATAGGCCAGTTTCTATACTACACCAGTTTTCAAAATTTTAGAAAAACCTTTTGTTGAAAGGCATAATAATTTCATAGAAACACATAACCTTTTAACTGATGACCAATTTAGGTTCAGGAAAAAAATAGATCAACATCTCTGGCATTAATAGAAATTATTGAGGAAACTATTAATAAAATAGATAAAAAGGAGTAAGGAGTTGGAGTTTTTTATAGATTTAAAGAAGGCATTTGATACAATAAATCATAATATATTGGTAAATAAATTAGAAAGGTATTAGAGGAGTAGCCTTGGACTGGATAAGCAGTTATATAAAACATAGGCAACAGTTGGTGGAAATTGGCAATCATATATCTTCATACCTAAATGTACATTGTGGCATACCACAAGGATCAGTTTTAGGTCCAATATTGTTTATAATTTACATTAATGATATGTGTGAGATATCAGAGTTGTTTAATTTTGTTTTATTTGCAGATGATACAAGTATATTTTGTTCTGAGAATTTACCAAAATGTATTATGTTGATTAAAACAGAACTCAATAAATTGAAATTGGGGTTTGACTTAAATAAATTGTCATTAAATATAAGTAAAACAAAGGATATGTTATTTGGGAAATTAAAAAGTAGTCATAACATAGATTTACAAATTGATTATGTAAATAAATAATAAAGTTATAGAAAGAGTAAATGCAAGTTTCTTGGTGTTGTGTTGAATCATAAAATTAGTTGGAAACCGCAAATAAATAATGTGATATCAAAAAGAGTAAAAACTGTAGCAATATTATATGAAGTAAGATTTATCCTGGACATTAAATCAATGTATGTAATAAAAAACACACTTGTGTTGCCATATACGAGTTATTGTGTTGAAATTTGGGGGGATACATACAAATCTAAATTATGATCCGTATGTACAATGAAGGAAAAAGTAATTACACTGATAAAAGATGTGGAGTATTTGAAGCATACAAAACCTTTATTTTTAAAATTGAAGATACTTAAGTTCACTAAAATGGGTAAATTTAAAACAGCATAATTTATTATTAAAGCTGGGAATACATTACTTCAGAAATTAATACAAAAGTTTTTGGAAGAAAGACAAGGGGGATATAATCTGAGAGAAGAACAGAATTTTAGGAGGTTGAAAACAAGGACAACTTTTAAAAGAAGTTTGTTTATGTCTGTAGGGTGAAATTATGGAACCGTCTAAAACATTCTCAAACAATGTCAGGATATTAATCAATTTAAAAAGTTGTGTGTGTGTGTGTGTGTGTGTGTGTGTGTGTGTGTGTGTGTGTGTGTGTGTGTGTGTGTGTGTGTGTGTGTGTATATATATTTATATATATATATATAAATAATGACGGAAGTGATTGAAAAAAGATAAAAAAGATAAAATGAGAAAGGTATGATGAATTTTTAATTAATGGCTATTTGCAGTTCTATGTTTTTTTGAGTGTATGTTAAAAAATGTAAAGGTACAAATAGAATCAAACATATAATATGTCAAAGATGCCAAAAGCATCAAATATGTCTCATGTAAAAAGAGGAGATAAGTAAAAGAAGAAATAAGTTTAAGTAATTGACGAATGATGTATGTGCTAATGGGGTGGGAAAACTATAGGCTTGTGCTTCATCCACTCCATTTTCGACCATGTTGAAATGTATTGTTTGTTAAAGATATTTTATGTATGATATTTTTGTTCGTAAATCAAATTAAAGCAAATCAAAATTGAACTGCTATTATTGCTTTTAAACCTCCAAATGATTACTGATTTAAAAAAGAGTGTTCTACACAAAACAGGTATAGTATCTATTTACAACAAATGCAAAACAAGAAGAATCTTTTCAGCGAAGGCATTTCTCAGTAACTCCACCCACCACTGCTGAGATGTTTTGCCATTAGTATAAACAGTATTTAATATTACTTCTATTTACACCCTGTGTGAATATTATCTATCTCTATTTACACTTATACTTACTGCAAACAGTTTCTATCACTATTTACACAGTGTAAATAATTTATATTATTAGCTGCTGCTGAAAACATAGCAGCATATAGGTCAGCAACAACACAAGGCTACATGAAGTCAGAAATTTTAGATTAACTCCCTCTTCTTTAATAATAATATCAGAAATGAACTGAAAACTTACCAGGTCTGCATGACATCACTGGGCCAAACCAAGCGGCACATGTTGCCAGTGCTGTTGTTACTGCGTATGAAAGGCACAAGGGTGCTGCCTATGGGATAAGGCAGCATGAGCAGAAACGACACCACCCAGGTGGCAGAGATGACTTTTACAGCGTGAGACTTAGTCTGCCAGGCACGGGATTTCAACGGGTTGCAGATGGCACTGTAGCGCTCCAGAGAAATGGCCACGAGGTTCAATGTGGATACGCTCACCGAAATACCTGTGTGTTAGAACACACACATCTCAGTTGCACATGCAGAAATAAGTCTCAGAGGTATGATATAGAGCAGGGGTGATCAATCCTGTTCCTGGAGATCTACCTTCCTGCAGATTTCAGTTGCTACCCATATCAAACACACCTGCCTGTAATTATCAAGTGGTGTTCAGGTCCTAATTAATTGGTTCAGGTGTGTTTGATATGGGTAGCAACTGAAATCTGCAAGAAGGTAGCTCTCAGGAACAGGACTGAGCACCCCTGATATAGAGTATAGCAAATTGAAATTACATTTGTTTTCAAATTCTGTTTTAAATTTTTACAAAGTGATGTTTAAAGGAGCAAGGACATTTTCACAATATTTCCTATATTATATATATTCTGGAGAAAGTGTTTCTTTTAGTTTGGCTGCAATATAAGGAATTTAAAATAAAATTTAAGAGCTATACTATTAGCACTCTTAATATTAAATATAAATCGCTGTTGTTCAATTTGCCCAATTAACCTAGCTCTCCCTAGTTAACCCATTAAGCTTTTAAAATGCACTTTAGGCTGAATACTACACTGGATAAAAAATTAAACTTTGAACCAACTTTAAAAATAAATGTAATTGTCACAGCAATTTTTTTTGTTTTCTCAAAGTATAATTTAACTTTGGTTTATACATAATAATTTAATTAAACCTAGTTAAAATATATATTTATTATGGTCAAGAAAAAAATACATTCACAATAAGTAAAACATTGTTTACTATATTGACAGTAAACATTCATTAATTTATTCATTCATTCATTCTTTCGCTTAGTCCCTGATTATCAGAGGTTGCCATAGTGGAATTAACCGCCAACTATTCCAGCAAATGCCCTTCCAGCCGCAACCCAGTATTGGGAAACACCCATACACTCTTACAATCACACACAAACTTACACACTACGGCCAATTTAGTTTACCCAATTCACCTATAGCGCATGTGTTTGGACTTGTGAGGGAAACCAGAACACTCGAAGGAAACCCACACAAACACCCAGCCGGGACTCAATCCAGTGACCTTCTTCCTGTGAGGTGACAGTGCTAACCACTGAGCCACCTTGCTGCCCAGACTATATAAATATTTTTTTTTCAACATTACTGTAATTTGTTACAGCTAAATGGATCAATTTCCCTCAAATGATAGTTTTGACTTTTTTGAAAGTGAAAACTATAATACAATATTAATAAAACAATTATTAATATGCCCAAGGAAAAAAATACATTGAATCAAAGGTAAAATATTGTTTTTATAGACAATAAATACATTAATCTAATTTGGTTTGACTTAAAATCAAATACCAAGTAGAGTTGTACTTTGGGTTAAACTAATAATTACATATAATGTTAGACTATGCTATAGCTAGTTATTTTACTTTCAATAATGAGCTAAACTATCTACGGAAGCTGTCGCCTCACAGCAAGAAGGTCACTGGATCAAGGCATTTCTGTGTGATGTTTATATGTTCTTCCCGTGTTCGCGTAGGTTTCTCCACGTGGGCTGCTTCAGTTTCCCCCACTAGTCCAAAGATGTGGTACAGGTAATTTGGGTAAGCTAAAATTGTCCTTAGTTTATGTGTGTGAATGAGTGTATGTATGTTCCCTACAGATGGGTTGCTACAGTCTCAGAAAAAAGTTGCTACAGTCTCAGAAAAAAAGGTAAAAATAATGTTTCTTAAGGAACAGTTTTGTACCTTTGTAAATGTTGTACCTTATATGGTACAGAAAAGACCTAATACTGTTCTGTACCTTTTATGATATAACTGAAATGGAAGTATACACAATGTTTCTCATAAAAAAAAGGTACAAAAGTGTTGAACAACTCCTTCTTTATTTACAATATCTATGAAAATAAATGACTGAAAAGGCAAAGTGATTTTATAAGTAATTTCCATAATAAAACATGAATCATCATTTAAAAGTATTAGTAAAATTATTAAGATCTCTAATACAAAAATAGATTTGATTTATGTTCAATTATTTTTTATTCGTTAATGTAAATGGAAAAGGTGCATTTACTCTAAAGGTACCTTTTTTGAAAACATTGTTTAAAAATGTATTTGATGGTTTATTCATTCATTCATTTTCTTGTCGGCTTAGTCCCTTTAATAATCTGGGGTCGCCACAGCGGAATGAACCACCAACTTATCCAGCAAGTTTTTACGCAGCGGATGCCCTACCAGCCGCAACCCATCTCTGGGAAACACCCACACAAACACTCATACACTACGGACATTTTAGCCTACCAGTTCACCTATCCCACATGTCTTTGGACTGTGGGGGAAACCGGAGCACCCGGAGGAAACCCACGCGAAAGCAGGGAAAACATGCAAACTTCACACAGAAACGCCAACTGAGCCGAGGTTCGACCCAGCGACCTTCTTGCTGTGAGGCGACAGCACTACCTACTGCGCCACTGCCTCGCCTTGATGTTTTATATTTACTGAAAATAAATTGACACATTTTGGATAAAGCAAAATGCCTTTAAATAATTTTGAAGGAACACATTTGACGCTATTAGGTACAAAGTTTTTTGTCACTGTAGTGGTACCTACATGGATCAGATTTGTACCTTTGATAAAGGTACAATATTGCATCATGTTTTAAAATGCCAAAGGTACATTTTAGTGTCCACCCCAAAAAAAAAAAAAAAAAAACATTTCCTTAAAGGTACAAACTGCAATGGTACAATTTTTTTTCTTTGTCTTAAGGTAAAATTCTATTCCATAAAAAGGTACTGCCCCAGTGACAAGGGTTTGTACAGTACCTTCTTTGGTACAACCATTTTTTTCTGAGTGTTAAAAGTAAAAATACAACTTTAAGAAAAAGTTTTTTTTAAAAGTTACCTAGGGCTTTATTTTTTTACTTCAAGGCAAATTGAATGGGCAGGATAAAACAAGAAAGCATAATTTTTCACTTAATCCAATGTAAAATATATATATTTTTTAAATAACAGTGTCAGAATGTCAGAGACACAGAATGACATAGTAATTTAACTTTTTGTGTGTGTAGTATACAGCAAAATAACTAGAAAAATATTATGTTCTGTCATCATGGCAAAGACAAAATAATTTAGTAATTAGAAATTAATTATTAAATTTACGATGTTCGAAAATGTGTTGAGAAAATCTTGTCTGTTAAACAGCACTTGTGAAATATTTTTAAAATAACAAAAAATGTACAGGAGGGCTAATCAGACTTCAACTGTATGTGATTCTATAAACAACAAGAACTACGAAATGAAAACAGACAGGAAATCTTCATAACAAGCTAACTGTAAGCTCTGATAACAAAAGTACGAAGTGTTCTCAAAGTTAACGGCTGTTGACGGTTTAATGCTTTGCATCTATTAAGACAGCAGCTCCAGATCGTTCTGAATGTTAACATACCCATGCGGTAATAACAACAGACAACGTAAATGAAGTCAGCTTTATCATGAGCAAGTATTACAGAAGAGCACGAAACAAACACATAAAACATGCTGAAGCATCAGACAGAGAGATATCGCACAGTAGCTTTGTCTCATTACTTCATTGTTTACACTGAACGGTCGCAACATCTGGAAGTGTGCAACTAACTTGGCTTGCCGCACATGATTCAACAAGTCGTAAATATGATTTCAAAATGTATGTGTCTTGCAATAGATTGCACATCTCAATGCCTCTACAGCTGAGGCTTACAATATAATTAAATTAAATGCATTTAGTACTAATTAAATGAGGTCTGTGCTTTTAGTAATAATAATAATAATAATAATACAAAGAATGGAAATAAAGCAGCTGAAATAGCTGGACATATAACATGAAAATGGAGACATTTACATTGCACTGGGCTGAACTTAATTGAACTTTAACTGTGAAAACTGGACGGAGGCATTTTCAATTTAATAGAGCTTAATCTGTTAAGCTGCTTTGACACAATCTACATCGTAAAAAGCATTATAGATATAAAGATAATTTGAATATAATGTTATCAAATGTATTTTAAGCAACAAAGTCGCTCATCAAATCAGTGAATATTCTGTGTACACAAAAAAGTACCATGCTGTTATTTTCTGCCAGACTAACTATAGGCTAGTTACAATCGCCTACACAGATGTGTTTTTGATGTCCATACCATTAACAGTATTTAACTATAAGAGACCAATTCAAGAGCTGTTTTCAGTCTGTCATGTCTTGAGTAAAATGTTCATGTGTGTGTTTTGTTTTATAAACTACTGATAATGTGTTATTGTTGATGTGTTATTTCAGATAATCAAATAAGTATATTATAATTTACAGCATTTATTTGCAGAAAATGACAATGTAGTCAATAATATATTTTCTATTTTCAAACTGTGTATGTTGAGGGAAAACTATATTAAACTATATTAAAATATTAAACATAAGTAAATAATCAGGGTAACACTTTATTTTGATGGTCTATTTGAGTATCAGTAGACTGTCTGCTTAATATCTGTTGATACTGCTCCTTCATTTGTCCAGCCTATTATAGTATTTTACGATCTGGGTAAACTAAATTCACCATAGTGAATAAGTGTGTACGTGCGTGTGTGTGTGTGTCAAAGTGTTATTGTGGTTAGAAGGGCATTTATCGCCTAAAACCTATGACAGAGTAATTGGTGGTTTGTTTCGCTTTTGGTGACACCTGATAAATCAGGTACTAAGCTGAAGCATAGTGAACCTATTATTGTATAAAATATATATATGTGTGTGTGTGTGTGTGTGTGTGTGTGTGTGTCTGTGTGTGTGTGTGTATATATATATATATATATATATATATATATATATATATATATATATATATATATATATATATATATATATATATATATATGGGGAAACCCATAGATTTATAATATAATATATATTTATTATTAATTCAAATCGTATTTACAGCTTTTGTTTGAGATTTTATTTATGTAATAATCTGCTGGAATTTAATCTTCACATTCTTTGTTTACTGTTTGTTGGTTATTTTTACTTAAATAAAACTTGAGCAACTTCTTAGGTAGGCATTTAATGACACAGATAACAAACAAAAACCATTTCTGAAAAATACTATTTGATGAATAAAAATGTTACATTAAGTAAGTGAATTTGTGTTGAAACAACATGAATAAATTGTGTGGAACCCTGCATTTTTACAGTGGTTGATCCAAAAACAACTGAAGATTTTTTTTTTTTTTTAACTCGTTTGAAATAAGTAGTTTGAACAATTAGCAAGTCATTTTTTGGAGTGTTGCATTATTATTTATATATGAATGAACAATTTTAATTTCAGAACTATTGTAATTTTTAGACATCAAGTTTTTAAACTAAAATTATTTGAACAAAACTTTATATTTAGCTAAAATAACCATATTTAATGAAGAAGAAACAGCAAATACTTAAAAGTGAACTAAAAAGGTCCACAATCGGACAACATGAATAAATGAACTTATTAGTTTTTTTTACAAATTGAAGTGTATTAAACATAAAACACGTAAGTTGTTCAAAAAACTCAAGACTTGTGATCTTTCGGCTGAATTAAAATAAGTAGTTTGATCAAACAGCAAACGTCATTCTTTGTGTAAGTTTAAATGGACTCACCCATGAAGTAGGTTGCCACTTTGCACATGCCACTGCCGAAGATAAAGTCCTTCATAAGGTTTGGGATGAGGGTGAATGGCATACAAAAAACACAGAGCATCAGGTCACTGACGGCCAGAGACAGCAGGAACAGATTGGTCACCGTCCGCATGCGCCGGTTCCTCAGCAGAACAGCGATGATGAGGCTGTTCCCGAGGAAGCTCAGGATGAAGATCAGCGCATAAAGCACGATCCGCACCGTCTGGTTCATATCTGACACACGACACAGTCAATATCATATTACACAAGTTATAAAAAGCAAACTGTGTCTTCTGAATATTTGCACAAACTAATGCGCAACAAGATGAAACTTGTCTTAACGCACGCAGATAGACTTCAACACAATAAAAAAGAAAAACCTAAAATGTGAATCTCCACTAAAGACAAACAAACAATTGTTAATATCCTAAAGTTAAATTCTACAATTTTAAAATGTCTTACCTTTTGGTTCAGACGGGCTGGGGGTGCTCTCGTTTTTGCACTCCGACAAATTCCCGATTCCAAGCCCACATAATATTTTATAAATATCAGTGGAATTAACGAGCATATCTTGAATTGTAAATGTCTCCATGTCTGTTTGTTGGTTCTGATGACTTCCCACTTTGCTTCGCAGTTAATACCTATCCAAATGAATTTATCTGCATCTCTTGCAGGTAAAAGAACAGCAACATTTGAGCCATAACGCCTCAATGCTGAGCTGTGCGCTGTATATTAAAACACATTCATTTTAAATCATAATTAATACAGCCAAGATAAAAAAAAAATTATACGTTTTGAGATGTAATAATGAGAAGAAAAAAACATCAAAGAAAATGGGTACTTTAAAAGTAGTCTACATCCAGAATGAATATAACCAGCTGTTCCTGACAGAGAGTTGTGATGTGAAGTAATGCAGTTGATAATTTCTGTCTTCAACAGATCCGCAGCTAGACTCCGCCTTCACTTTCTCAGACACCTTCTCTGAATATGGCACACCCCTGACATTTTGTAAACCATTTTTTTTTTTTTTTTGCTGTTGTAAAACTGTTGTTTAATAAAATAATTTATTGGACAAGTTAATAATGAATAATAATAAATAGTAATAAACAGTAAAATAATAATTATCTCATTTTATTATTATTGTGTTAAATCTATTATTTTTTTACAAAAAAAAAAAAATGAATTAAAATATATATAAGTACCCTACGCTATGCAAGGGCTAAAGTAATATTTCTTACCAAAATAGAGCCATAATACTGTACACTTACTATTAGGTACACTTTACTAGTACCGAGTTGGACCCCCTTTTGCTTTCAGAACTGCCTTAATTCTTTGTGGCATAGATTCAACAAGGTACTGGAAATATTCCTCAGAGATTTTGCTCAATATTGGTAGTATCACGCAGTTGCTGCAGATTTGTTGGCTGCACATCCATGATTCCAATCTCCCATTCCACATCCCAAAGGTGCTCTATTGGATTGAGTTCTACTGACTGTGGAGGCCATTTTAGTACAGTGAACTCAACTTGCACATGATTGTATTTATATGTTGTAAATACATAATATTAATCTTAAAAAGCTTTTCAATGAACTACCTCAAACCAAAAAATGTTGGGACAGTATGGAAAAAAAAAGAAAGAAAGTAGTGATTTCCAAATTTACTTTGACTTGTATTTCATTTGCTGACAATATGGACACAAAATATTGTAAGTTTTGTCAGGTGAACTTCATTTCATTTGTAAATATACATCCTTTCCTGTCATTCAGACCAGCAACACATTCCAAAAATGTTAGGCAGGAGCTGTTTAGGGCTAGTAATCAAGAAAACGTAGTTAATTAATGATGGGATTTGAAACGTGATGTCACCAGCTGATAGTAATTATGATTTGGTACAAAAACAGCATCAAATAAAGAGTATAGTCCTTTAGGAGCAAAGATGCAATAAACTTGTGCTCACATTGAAATAAGTTTATTTTGTTTACTGGCAGATTTTTTTTTTTTTTTTTTTTACATATTATTCTAAAAACAAGACAATGTTTTGAGATATTTGGACTGGAAACTAAATAAAAACTAAGCTAAGATACAGTACTAAGAAAAGATAAAAAGTAAAATACAGTATTTACTTAAAATACTTTCTCTCTCTCTCTCTCTCTCTCTCTCTCTCTCTCTCTCTCTCTCTCTCTCTCTCTCTCTCTCTTTTTTTTTTTTTTTTTTTTTTTTGCAGTGCACAACCTCGCAGGACAAGCCGAAATCTTGGAGTTGTACTTGATGACCACTTGAACTTTACAGACGACATTGTTAACTGCCCAGTCCTGCAAATTTGATTTGTATAATACAAGGAACATTAGACCCTTATGCATGCAGCTCAACTGCTTGTCAAATTGCAATGTTTGACAGCAATGTGAAGTAGTTGATTAGTTTATTTCTGTAGAGACTGAATTCACAATGTAAAAAAGTGAAATATACTGCCTATATTGTGTATTGTGAATTTCCAAATATTGTCCAAAATTGAATAGAATTTTCAACGGTCAGATTAATGGATGGATGTATGGATGAAGCTGTGAACATCACCAGTGTCTGCTACACATGCTCCTAACTAATGTTTTGAATGACTAGTTAATTAGTTAAAAAGGAGATTGTTTATAAAACGTGTTTTAATAGTTTGAAAAGACTCCTTTTACTATAACACTGAACAACGATTTATGACCTTTAGCAATACTATACAACTCTGTAAAAACATAAAAGGCTTTTAGGTAAGTTGTTTGAAGTAGACCACACACAGGCTTTGTTAACTCAGAAACCTCCAGCACTGGCCAAAAAATTTAATTCATAGCTGCTGTAAGATATATTGGTGCACAGTAAACATTATCAGCATTCCTGCAAAAAGAAAACATATTTTTCAAATTGTTTTCCGGCATGTCATGTCTATGTCTATACTTGCACAAGTTAAGAACTTTTTTCTTTCCTATATATTTTTTTCCATTCCTTTTTTTTTAATACAGATACATACCTCATATACCCTTTTCATTAAAAATGCAAAGGCTGTTGGTGTCAGTAGCCTAGGAATTAGTGTTTTGATCCATAGCATAGAGGTGCTTACGATGATCCAAGACTTGAGGTCCCGATCCCTTCCCTATATATGTGCGTATGTATGTGTGTGGCTGGAAGGGCATCCGTTGCGTAAAAATAGCTGGATAAGTTGGCGGTTCATTCCGCTGTGGCGACCCCTGATTAATAAAAGGGACTAAGCCGAAAACAAAATGAATGAATGAATAATTATATTTTCAAGCTGGTCACTCATCATACCTACAGTACATTATTAAATAGCTGCAAAAAGATAAATAATAAATAATTAAATAAATAAAAATTATAAATATAAATAAATTACAAATAAATTAGAAATACGTGTAAATAAATAAATAAATAAGCAATAGGAGAACATATAAATTTACATTTTAGAACAATCGCCTCACAGCAAGAAGGTCGCTGGTTTGAGCCTTGGCAGGGTCAGTTGGCGTTTCTGTGTTGAGTTTGCATGCTCTCCCCTTGTTCGTGTGGGTTTCCTCCGGGTGCTCCGGTTTTCCCAAGTCCAAAAATATGTGCTATAGGTGAATTGGGTAAGCTAAATCGTCCGTAGTGTATGAGTGTGGATGAGTAAAACATGTCCCCTACGTAAAACATATGCTGGATAAGTTGGCGGTTCATTCTGCTGTGGCAACCCCAGACTAATAACCGGACTAAGCTGAAAAGAAAATGAATGAATGATTACCTAGTAATTCAGGAATAACTTCATAAACATTTGAAGTAATTGAAAAAAAAAGAACACTTTAAAAGTTTTTTGGCTTTACTTGACTAAAGATAGCCTATATGCGTTTGAGTAAAATAGTAATATTTGTTTTATTATACAAATATATGATAATATTTCCTACAAATCTTCAAAATAATATAATTTACAGCATTTGTTTCTGTGCAAAATGACAATTTTTCAACAACAAAATGTTACACCAAATGTTAATTTCATAATTCTTGTCAAGTTCTAACATTGGTATTTAGTTGTCTAAAATAATAAACATGTCTGAAAACATTGCGCCTTTTGTTATTTTGGCCATTTTTTAAAATCAATTTTACATATGTCATCAGTGTTTTGCGTAAAACAAGAATCACGTTTTACACACAAACTACTTTGTCACCTGAAGTAACTATGTAATGTAAATCCAGTTCTAAACATGTACGAAAGAAAAATAAATATAAAATAAAATAAAAAAATCTTTGTACTAATTTTGTAGAACCTTAAATTTTAAGTGTCCATCATAGGCACTCTTATTATTAAAGTAAATAAAGGTCTGTGTCGGAACCTTGTTTTGAGCACAGTGTTTCCCGGAGGGTTTGTTGTTATTTGCCTGGAGACGGTTCTTCATCCTGAGATTCTGCATCGCTAACCGATGATAACACACAGTCACATTGACATCACATAAAAAGCTTGCGACAATGATGGACGATAGCACAGAGCTTTCCGTCTCTATAACGCAGATTGTTCAGAGGCTCAAAGGCACGCATTTACACTCTCAGCTGGAGAAACAGGCTAAAGTGAGTAGCTACAGCTAACGGACCGCAGAGTGTGCAACACGATAAACGGTCACTGCAGCAGATACTGTAACGTTATGTCTGCCTGTCAGATTGCTTTTGCTATTTTGTGGCGTTTAAGAGTTGTGTCTTTTTTCATAGGAATGTCTGCACAAACCCGAAATTAAACTTGAAACACTGAAAGACGATGTCAGAAGAGTGTTAAAGGCATCAGGTATGAAATTACTGAAATTATTTAATTAAATAAATTCTTTAAAATATTTTAAAACCCATGTTTAAATATAATTGTATAAATGTAACACATTAATTATTCATATCCAATTAAGTATTCCATTTATTACACTGATGTAAAGACTATTTACGTTTTTTAAAATAAAATAATTCTAATCCATATAAATTCTCTTCTATAAATATAACCATATACTTATAATATTAGCCAGCACAGCTGTTGTTAACATGTTTCTTGAGTGTAAAATCAACATATATTAGATGATAAATATGATTTCTGAAGGATCATGTGTCACCAAAGATAGGTTTATGGTGGTATTAAATTTTCTTATTGTGATAAATTTTTAAATGACTTTAAATAATTTGACTTTTGTAATCTGATTAATTTAAAAAATAATAATTTATACGATATATATAATCAGTTTATTGTATTATTATTAGACATTACTAAGAAATTAACATAACCAAAGAGTTAAAGGTGTATGTTCATGCAAGCATAATTTGACAAAACACAGCTTCCAGAATCTCTCCCAGTTCAGTGCTGGATTCGGTTAAAATCTCCTCAAAGAAGGAGCTGCTCCAACAAGCAGAAGATGGCGCCTGTGAGTTTTTATTTGTTAAAATTGATCATGACATATACAATGTCTAGCCTTAACGGTATGCTGTAGCGAAGATGTAAACAACGGGAAATGATGTAAACAGCTGTAAACACACGCACACACACTCTTCACCAGCGTGTGCGTGTCTCTCTATAGGCAGCTTTTCCATGCGTTTTATATCTCAGATAATGAACTCGCAAATGATATGTGAACTATTCATATTACTTACACCTGCTTATTCCAGATATATGTGAAAGACGTTGTGTATCGCGTTGAGTTAAAAAATATAGGAGAGCTCACCTAACCCGTGTAGCAGCAGAAAAATCAATCAAGGCTCAGACAGGTCGCATCCCACATCTTGTGCTTTATTTTTTTGTCAACAATGTCACTGTATATTACAGAACAATAACTTAATCCGAGCATCAGAGAAAATAAAAAATAAATGTCCCGTGCACATGCATTTCTCATGTTACACTCGTCTACAGACAGTACACACACACACACACACACACACACACACACAATGGCGATCTCTCTTAAAAAGCCGCACCCCATTTTCACTCGTTACAGACACTTGTCAGATGTTAGAGAGCGGGCATGACGTTGACTGACTATTAACACAACAGTGCTTATACGGGCGTGACGTGAAGCCGATCCGCGAATCGCAGCCCTTTATGACACACGACCAATCAGAGTCACTTGAGGGCGGGCCTTTCAGAGGAAATATGTAAGCCATTTTCATGTTAGCTGAGTAGCTGTAAATAATAAAAGTGAGATTTTTAAAAAAAATATTGTGATTTCCTTCAAGTGAAACACAAGCACACATTGCTTTGCATCTTATAAACATAACCAAGCCTTAAAATTATATTCTGGACCACCTATTTAATAAAAATATTAAACTCTAAAAGTTCATTTATTAATTTTCTTTTCGGCTTAGTCCCTTTATTAATCTGAGGTTGCCACATCAGAGTGAACCTCCAACTTATCTAGCATATGATTTACGCAGCGAATGCCCTTCGAGCTGCAACCCATCTCTGGGAAGCATTCATACACATACACTACGGCCAATTTAGCCTACCCAATTCACCTATACCACATGTTTTTGGACTGTTGGGGAAACCGGAGCACCCGGAGGAAACCCACACGAACGCAGGGAGAACATGCAAACTCCACACAGAAACGCCAACTGACCCAGCCAAGGATCGAACCAGTGACCTTCTTACCGCATCGCCCTCTCTAAAAGTTTAAGTAATAAGTTTTACAATGTATTTTTAAATGTCCCCACAATCTAAGCTGTGCATGCTCATTATCCTGATATACTGAATCATTGACTTTTGGCTAATGTTTGCTTTAAAGTGTATTAAGTTAGAATAGAGTCATTTTAAATTGTGGTAATTATCCCAAAGCTTTGTAAAACATTAAAATTAGCTTTTAAAAACATTTAAAATGAAAACAAGCCGTCATTGAATATCTTTCACTAAAATGTAAGATTTATTTATTTTATATTTTTTAAAGAAAATCATATGTTCACCACATAAAATATAACAGCCATATAGAAATGTTATTTATTTCTGTCATTCAAAGCTGTCACATGAGACTTCAGAAACGTCATACTTCTTATTTTTGTGGAATTGCATATTATATATGGGATGCAAAAAATGATGAATGCAAATATGGACTTGTCAGCTTGTTTATGCTTATGTAGTGAATCTGTTTCTGTTGATTTATCATTCTTGCAGGTTGGGAGAGGAAATTGCAGAATGCAGTTTACAGGGAATTGCATGTGTAAGTGATACTGTATATCACTGTTTTATTCTTGGTAGTTTTATTAGTCACACTCTCCAGTGTCTTATATGTACAATATAAAATATAACTCTGATATTACTTGTATTAAATTTAATTAATTTGATACCATAATAAAGTATGACATGATATATATATTCTACCTTTCTATTTCACCCACACACTCAAATACAATGTTTCTAGAATGTTCTTTCCTTCAGTTTTAGTGTTACATTAAAACTGTTCCTTCAGTTTTCTTTTTATTACAAACATTTTTTTTTCTAGCAAAAAAAAAAAAAAAAAAACAAAAAAAAAAACTACTTGACAGACTAAAACTATACAGAAAGGACAAGATGACCTTATTTAAGCTTTAAATGTCCCAGGTCTGAACTTCACTGGTCTGACAGGAGCAGGGAGGGAAGGTCCTTTTTTTCTTTTCTTTTTTTTATAGTGTGACCCATTTTGAGTTGAAAAGTTTTAAGAAAAAAAAAGCTATTAAAACACATGTGTATATGTACAGCTTTAAACTTATTACTCTTTGTTTGGAAATGTTTTGTTATAGATACACTCTGTCATTTTCGGTGATGTGTTTATTATGAAACTGACTGTTTTAAGTTAATGGGACTGAAGAGACCTTATTGAAGAAGAGAAATAAAGTTGCTACGGGCTTCGTAAAGTTTGTTAATGGAATATAGTGCAGGTGTGTTAGTGTGTTACAGCACAGATGGTCTGTTAAATGTCTTTTTGAGACATTCATGTGATGGTCTGGGAAATGTCAAGAGTTTTGAGAGTAGGAGGAGTCAACAATTTATGGGTGCAATAGACAGATTCCAAAAGGAAAAATGTCTTTGAGTTTCTCCATAATGATAACTTATAAAATGTTCAAGACAGAACTACTGTGAGCTACAGGCTTGTTAAACTGTTTTGTATCAGAACGTAACACAAAATCAGAGATACATCAGAAATTGTCAGTAAGGATACAGATGGATACTTAAAAGATTAAGGAGAGAGAGAAAGGGAAAAAAGGGACATTTGCACTGTTTTATTTTAAAACAATATATATCGTGTTGAAGTTATGTATAAAAATATATTAAAATAAATAAAGAAAGAAAAAAAAGAAAGTAAAAGGAGGGGGAGGCAATTGGGAGGTGTCTCATGTACTTTATATCATGTATGTAATGTAGCTGTTTATTAAATCTATGTTTTATGTTTGAAGTTAGTCATGTGTAATTGTTAGAATTAGGTTCCATCATGCTTCAAATATATTCATCTGGAGACTAAGGCAATATGTTATTCTTTTCATTTCTCAATTTTTTCCATCCATTGTATATAACCTGGGTGGGTCTGATCTAAACCAGTTAGACGTAATAGATTTTAGTGCTGCAGAGAGCAGTATTTGATAAAAATAAATACTTCTTCTTTCCCCCATGCTCTCAGGCACCATAGGACTGCCACATTTGGTTTAAACTCAACACAAAATATGTCATAATTGCTGCAGTTTTGGGCAATACCTAAAGATATGAGAGTGGTTCCTTAAATGTCACAGTCTCTTCAGCATCTGTTAGATGAGCCTATTCTTATCTTTGCTACAATTTGTGTGGTGCGGAAATATCTTGTGATGATTTTCCACTTACATTCTCTTCATACATTTGAGTTTGTGACTTGATGGACTTTTAAGCAAATATCAATCCAGTTTTCTTGTGTAATTTCTTTATATGCAAAAGTATTATTTGGCTGATATGAAAACTGTCATTCATTCATTTTCTTTTCGGTCTAGTCCCTTTATTAATCAGGGGTCGCCACAGCGGAATGATCTGTGAACTTATCCAGCATATGTTTTATGCAGTGGCTGCCCTTCCAGCTGCAACCCAACACTGGGAAACATTCATACTCACTCATTCAAACTCATACTGATATGAAAACAGACTTTTATATAGTTTAGAAATAATTTGCTTGCCAGTGGTCTCCATCTGTATTTGCATCATCATATTATCTATTTCATCTGGATTGATGATATCCTCCCATTCTTTATGTTTTGTAATATAATCTCTTATTTGTAAATATTAATAGTTTGAATGATTTTATATATATATATATATATATATATATATATATATATATATATATATATATATATATATATATATATATATATATATATTTTTTTTTTTTTTTAATAAGCTGATATATGGAATTTAGTCCATTATTTGAACATTTTTTTTTAATCTAGTATCTAATCTGATAGTATGAGCTATAGGCTTGTTAATCACATGTATGTGTTTTTGTTGAAGCCATCAATCTGCATTAGTTTAGGTTATTAAAAAAATACTCTTATTTAAGAGCAGGACTATACATTACCCATGATTCCGCAGAGAACGCTGCACTAATTAGAAAAACATTTTTGTCTATCTTTCAGGCAGTCAGTCTCCCTACTCTCGCATTATAACTTTTACTGTTCACCTTTAAAATCCAAAGTCTATTAGTGGAGAGTTTTGTTTTTTATTGTTTTATTAAGTGTACTATTTTTAAGGTATGATTGGATCTATGTTGGGATAATTATTATCATAATCATAGTCATTTGTACTTTCTCAATTATTCTGCTTTGTATGTGTTTTGATGTATAGTTGTATGGGAAAGTAAGAGTGGGACTAATTTAATACAGTGTCATTGCTTATTCTAATCTGCACTGTGAAATACTATGTATGGTCCCAGTAAATACCAAAGAAATGTTTAAAGGGGGAGAGAAAAAGAAAAGTCTGTCACCATTTATTCTCCTTTGACTTGTTTCAAACCAGATTTTTTTTTCAGTTTAACACAAAAGAAGATATTTTGAAGAATGTTGGAAACCAGTAGCCATAGTTTCCAACGTTCTACTGCAAAACAAAACAAGTCAAAGGGGTTTGGAACAAGTCAAGTGTGAGTAAATGATTATTATTTTTTGGTGAACTATCCCTTCAAATCAGGGGTGCTCAACCCTGTCCCTGGAAATCTACCTTCCTGCAAACTTTAACTCCAACTTTGATAAAACACAACTAAACTAATTAAGCAGGATCTGAAGGAGCATTTGGTAATTAAAGACATGTGTGTTTAATAAAGGATGCAGCTGAACTCTGCAGGAAGGGAGATCTCCAGGAACAGGGTTGAGCAAGTCTTTTCTAATATTAAGTAGTTTAAAGAAAAATGCTGTCTAGGTTGGTTTTGTAAATAACTAAAAACTCTGGGTATCATACCTTTGGAAAAAACAGTTATTTTCTGCACTGTAATGGTATTCATGGTTTGTCCTTGCATCTGTGTTGTATGTTTATATGTTTGTGTGTTGTAGATTGCCTCCCCCTGGACACCCCAGAGCCCCTCCTGAACACACCAAAGAGCCCCTGGCATACATGCTCAAAGCCCAGGTACACAGTCCTTTTATTACCGCTCTGCATTCTCTCTTTTCCTAGTTCTTATAGCTTAATTTATGCTGCATGCATAGATAAAATATTTAAACACTTTTTAACATGTTCTCAAAGTCACACTTTAAAATGGCTGAATGTCAATGCATAGATAACAAAATGAAAAGACTTTAAAGACAAATGATCACTTGAGTTTGTTTTTGAGAACTTCGATTTCAGTTCTTCGGTAGCAGATTAAAGGAATATTTCTCCTCAAATTGGAAATTCTGTCATTATTTACTCTACCCTTCTTTAAAACCTTTTTGAGTTTCTTTCTTCTGTCGAACAGAAAATAAGTTTTGAAGAATGCTGGAACTTCAAGCTTCTGTTTTTCCTACTATAGAAGTCAATCATTACAGATTTTCAGCTTTTTCAAAATATGTTTTGTTTAACGGAAGAAAGAAACCCATAAAGGAGTTTTTGGGTGAACTATTCCTTTAACCGCAATAGTAAATTATCATGTTAAACTGTCAATCTGGTTATTGACATTTTGCTTATACTTCATAAAATGAGCTATAGTTCAAAAATGGAGGGAACATGCTCTTAGAAATGCCAACTGACCCTGCCGGGACCAGCGGTGTAAAGTAACTAATTACAAATACTCAAATTACTGAGTTGTTTTTCTCAGGAATTGTAATTTACTAAGTAATTTTAAGGTTGTGTACTTTTACTTTCTCTAGAGTACATTTATAGTGCTATATCTGTACTTTTACACCACTACTTTTTTCAATCTGCAGTCACTACTTTATTTTTTGTTGTTTATGGGTATTACAAAAATCACTCCTGTGTTTCCTGTCCAATCAAATCACACATCGAAGGTAAATCGATTAATGATGAACTACCACAAAACATGGTTAATTTATAATTGCAACAAACAGTTTGAAAGCATTAAAAGTGTCCTAGAAGATGACCAAAGTCTTTACACACATTGACCCAGAGCCTGTTCAGATGCATGCCAATGATGAGAAGATGACAGATGTTTATTGTATGATGACCAAAATAGCCTTGGACACCCAGTAGACACGAGACATCAACATGACATCAGATTGATGTTGTACCCTAACGTCATGGGGACGTTGCAGTTTGTTTGGAAAAGAAAACCAGATTGACATCAGAACTTAACGTCTAACCTAAAACCAATCAAATATCAACGTCTAATGATGTTACAGCTTGATGTTGTGTGGATGTTACCACTATGACATATATCAGTCGGATTTTGGTTACCTTACCTGATAAATAAATGTTAGTATCTGACATCAATTTGATGTCGGTTTAAAATGTTGGCTAGACATTGGGTTTCGGTCACTTTCTAACAACCTAAAATTGACCAAATATCAATATTTAATGTCGTTATTGGACATCAAAATAATGTCCTTCGATGCTGGCTAGACATTGAATTTTGGTCACCTGACATCACAACCTTAATCTAACCTAATATTAATGTCTTATGACGTTGTGTGCCTGCTGGGAAATAACTAAATGCACTACAGAATGTTACTTTTGCACACATCCAGAAATTACATCAGCTTTTAAAAGAGAATTACTCACTAATCTTTAGTACTTTAGAATGTGCTACTTATTACTCATACTTTGACTAATGTTTACTGTACAACAGATGCCTTTACTCTACTTGCACAATATTTTTAGGCAAGTAATGGTACTTTTACATGAGTATGATTTTTCAGTACTCTTTCTACCACTGGTCGGGACTTGAATCATTTAATAGTATTTAATAGAAACATTTTTATTTTTTGTTTAAAACTAACCCTCTAAAAACATTATATTGTGAAACATTATTAAAATGTAAAATAGTCTGTTTTCTGTTTTAAATTGTAGTTCATTCCAGTAATAGAGAACCTGAATTTTAACCCTTTAACTGCCTGCTCTACCAACTGGTTGAGCATATTTTGACTAAATAAGGACTGATAAAGCCATTTAAAGAATGACCATTTTAAATAATGGCATACACACATAGCATTATTGGTTTACAAAAAATAAAAAGTAAAATCAAACAAGCAATCCTGTTGTACTACTACATTTGATTTTGGTTTTATTGTAAAAAAAACCAACAACAAAAAATTATAAAAAACATTAAATGAAATATTTTATGGCATACTTCAAAAAATAAAGATGATTTAGTATTTAAGTGTTTTTTTTTTTTTTTTTTTTTAATAAACAAGAGGTCTTACACTTCATATTTTCAGATTTTTTATAGTATATTTATTAAGTCTGGTACTTTTACCGTAATCCAACAAATCTACCATTTGGTAGAGACTAATATTTGAGAAATGATGGCATGTGTTGAAATAAAATGCATTGAGTGTGCTAACTAGCAACCTTAAGAGTTAAGAAATGCAATTAAATTTTTTTTAATTTTTAATTTTTTTGTTTTTATTTCAGTGTTTAATGTCACATGATCCTTAAGAAATCTTTCTGATATACTTAATGGTGTTCAAGAAACGTTCCTTATTACCATAAATGTTGATATTCAGTGTTGCTTTTTACTTCAAATAATAGATAGAAATTTAAAAGAACATAATTTATTTAAATGAATAACATTATGTTTCTAACTTTTAAAACTTTTAATCCGAATGCATTTTTGTTGAAAGTATTCATTTTCTAAACATTTGAACAACTGTATGCTTTTTTTTGCAAGTTGCGTTAGTGCAATTTGTCTTACTGGTTTTATATATTTTGTATATTCAGCAATAATCATGCATTGTAAAAAATGGCTTAAAGTACATTTTGGAGACATACATTGTTATATTGTGACATGGTGGCTCAGTGGTTAGCACAGTAAGAAGGTTGCTGGTTCGAATCCCGGCTGGGTCAGTTGGCATTTCTGTGTGAAGTTTGCATGTTCTCCATGTTTTGGCGTGGGTTTTCTACGGGTGCTCCGGTTTCCCCCACAGTCCAAAGATATGCACTATAGGTGAATTGAATAAACTAAATTGGTTGTTGTGTGTAAAACGTAAAACAAATGCCAGATAAGTTAGTGGTTCATTCCTCTGTGGCGACCCCTGATAAATATAAAGGGACTAAGCCGATAAAAAATGAATGAATGAATGAACATTGTTAAATTAATGTTGTGTTTTTGTTATAGGCAAGCTGGGAAAAGAGGATCCTGAAGAGTCTGAACAGTATGTGCACTGAATTGGGAATCCCACTAGCAAGGAAGGTAAAGTTTTAAACCAGAGCATGTACACAACAATTTACATGCGAGCAATAATATTTTATTAATATAATTTTTTATTTTTTTTTTCTGTTTAGCGTCCTGTCATGGAACAAAAGGAGCTGACAAACAAATGGAATGAGATGGGAACTGATGAACCAGGTAATACAGACATTCACAGTTTGCGATTCCATCCTGACATGATGTGTTCTGTGTGTTCATGCATTGCAGAGTGTTTACACACAGATGTTTGGCTCACACACAGAAGCCCTGAGCAGTAACAGCTCCATAACAATGCTATCAGTTTGCAGTGTGTATGATAACATTTACCGCTTTCTGCAGGACACTGGCATAAACAGCCCTTCCTGTGAAACCAGAGCATGTCCAGACCTCTGGAACCTGTCCAAATAACTAAAGCTACTGTCTACTGTAGTTTCTTTTCTGCATCCTTCCTTCTGTTTGCTTATTTAGCACTTTCTTTTAACCTTTATTTTTATTGGTTTCCTTCTGTTCTGGTTCTGTTAAAAAAGTCTGACATGACAGTAATTTAGCCATCTGTACATTTGGTCATCACAAGTCGTTTTTTTCCCTTCTGTGAAATGCAAAACTGCACCCTCTGTTCTTTGATTCATATTAAGGTGAAAAAAAAGAAAACACAAAATATATATTTAGAGTTTTATGCAAAACTTTGGGTTTTTACAACCCATCTGTGTTTAATATGGTTATAATAATGTGGTTATAATAATATGCTCGTGAGAAGATCACAATGAAATGCCATTCAGTGTAGCAAATAAAATTGAAACTGAAAAATAGGCTGTGCAAAAGTTTGGGCACCCTCTCTTATGTGGATTTTTTAAAGGTGTAGTCACTTAATGCTGATTGATTCCAACACACAATTGATTTGAGTGACTCAGTGAACCTTAACAATCCCAACACGGGTGCAACCAATCATGAAAAAGATATTTAAGATAGCTGATTGCTAGTTGTCCCTCTCCTGATTGTGAACTTGAATGTAGCAACATGGGAACCTCAAAAAGAACCTTCTAATAAACTAAAAATGAGGATAATTCACCAACATGAATAGGAGAAGGATGCAAGAATGCTATCACAAAGGTTTAAAGTCTCTATCTTCACAGTGGGAAATATAGTAAGAAAATGGAAGGCCACAGGAACAGTTCTTGTCGAGGAAGGATGTGCTAGACCAAGAAAATATTTGAAAGGCAAAGGCAAAGAATGGTTCGAAGGGTCACAAACAAACCACAGACCACTTCTTTAATTCTATGGGTTGATTTGAAAAGGGCCATTCATGCTCGGCACCCATCAAACCTGACTGAACTGGAGAAATTGTGCAAGTAAGAATGGCCCAAAATGCCGTTAGCAAGAATTGACTGTACTTTAACTATACTATGTTTATAAGTAGCGTCTACAGGCTGTTATTTCAGCAAAAGATGGCTCTACAAAAGATTGATGTCAGTATCGTGTTATGGTGCCCAATTTTTGGACCTGTCTGTTTTTGTTGTGAATTAAGGTGCATTGCATCTGTTTTGATTTAATAAATGCTGAACTTAAATGTTGCTTTTTCCCTAGGGTATAAAATGTATCCAAATAAATTTGCTGATTTGAAAATCCAACATGTTATGGCTTGCAATTATAAAAATCATCAGGGGTGCCCAAACTTTTGCATAAGACTGTATACAACAAATATGCAACTTTGGCATCATGTTTCCAAGTAATAACTTTGTACAATAACCAGAGCAAAGACCTTATACGATACTTTTTTTGTTAGCTGAAACAAGAAATGTGTATTTTTTTCATACTTATTCATGCTTAAATATACTATAAATAAATATAAAATATATAATATAAATATAAATATAAGTAAATACTATATAAAAATGTGTTTATTATTATTATTTTTTTCCCAAATAAGTTGATCTTTATTTTAAAGTTTTAAAAACCTGACTATTTTCCAGCAGTTATTTATCATAATGGCAATAAAATTACCCTGCAGATAACAGAAAGCTGCTATTAAGTTACTAAAATCTTAAGGTTTGCAAGTAAAGCCTGCCATTACATGGGTATTTTTACTGTATACTGCCAACAGCACCTCATTAGCATTTATAAATCACATTAATTTATAAACTGAAGATTGTAGTGTTATTTTACATTTGATTATTCAGATAATGCAGCCTGCAGTTTAATGATGATGTAAATATCATTTGACCCCAAACAGCGGCACCTTAGTGAATATAAGAATTCAAATGATTAATATTAATGAAAATTACACCTGCTCAATGAAGATTAGATGATTTACTACATTAATAAATCTGACAACTTGATCAGAAATCTAAAAAGAAGAGAAAAAGATTAAGCCATCAATAGAAAGTAATACTGTGGTTAAAAGTGTTTTGCAGATAACAGTGCAATACTTATTTTTTATTCCAAACACATCAGAATAACAGCGCCATTGTGGTCCAGTGGTCAACACATTGCGTTATGACATCACCAATCTAAGTTCGATCCTCATCAGAGTAATTATTTTTATTTATTTTTTATTTTTTTTCCATTTTTAGTGTTAAGACATATAGTACTGTTTGGGTTACTTATATAGGTGCACATATTTTCTTTATATTTTTTGTCTGACCACTGTTACAAAGGACTGGATATCTATGAAGAATTTTGCACAGAATATATATTTAGATATGGCAAGAAAGGACATTGTGATGTTTTAACATTTTTCAATTTTGTGACGATCAACTCAGATGTTGTGTCAATTCTCAGCCGTGTTTTATTAATCTCTTCTTTTCAATTACAATAAATGGTAAGTCATTACAGTTTAGCAGCATTCAGATCTCTGTTGTTTCTTTTATTGCAGACCTAAGCAATTTCAGGCCTGTCTACGCACCAAAAGACTTCCTTGAGGTGGGTTTCGCTTACATAATCAAATCAGTTTATTGAAAACATCCGGTCCAAATGAGAAAGATAGGCCTGGATACGAAGCAACTGATTGGATTCCCTCAGGAAATGTTCGGTTAAATTACTGTGAGTGAGAGAATTGACTGAGTGGTTGTTTTGATAGCACTACAGAGCCATTTACACTTATGAATGCTTTATATATAGATGACTATGATACAGTAGACAACATTTGAAGTGAATCTATAAGTATGGCTATACAGTAAAGCCCAAAATTATTCAAAACCCTGGCAGTTCTGAGTTAAAATGTATTTTATTTAACTAGCAAGTATCTGTTTGACCGGAAATGACACAGCCTTCTCCCAAAGGATCATAAGACGTTGTACAAGAGACAACATTTTGGTAATATTTCTCAGCTTTTATTTAGATTTGAACAAAAACTTTAAGTCAGAATTTGCCAGAAGTATGAATAATTTCCGGCTTGACTGTGTTATTATTATATTCTGTATGATATATTGAGATACTTTACAAAGTTTTCTCAAATGTCTACTTGTTTTCTTTTTACTATGAATGTATTGTTATTAAGGTAATATGAATCATAATATGTGTTGTCTTGTAGGTTTTAATTGGTTTAAGGAACCCGAATACCGAGCGCAGTGATGATCTGACAGTCAAAAGCCACTGGGGATTAATCCAGGTTTCACTTAATGTCCATGACATTCCTCAAATGGTCAGTCTTCCTCTTTTTTTATTTCAGGTTTATTTTTAGCTTTGTATCTCAAGACAAACAATTTGCATTGCTTGTAATCTTCCGAAACCATTCCTCTGTAAACAAATTACAGCAATTTAGAGTTTATTTTCATGGTCATTTAGATTTCTCTAGTGAAATCTAGTTTAGATCTTGGTGCTTGCTGCTCATCTGCAACTACTGTAAGCCATTTCCTAGTTAAATTGCCATTCACTTACATTTCAAGGTATTGGTGGTATACAGTTTGGTCCATAAATATTTGTAGATCATCACAATTCTAACATGTTTGGCTCTCTACACCAAAACAATTATTTTGTAATGAAACAAACAGACTGTCAGACTGTCATTTTCAAATTTGAGGGTATTTACATCCAGCTCAGGTGAACACTGTTGGAAATCCAACAGTTTGCAAATGTGCCTCCCACTTGTTAAGGGTCTAAAAGTAATGGGACAGAATAATACTCATCAATCAAACTTTCACTTTTTAATACTTGGTAGCAAATCCTTTGCAGTCAATTACAGCCTGAAGTGTCTAGAATGCATTGACATCACCGGACCCTCGGTTTCATTCTTGGTGATGCTCTGCCAGGCCTCTACAGCAACTGTCTTAAGTTCTTGCTTGTTCTTCAGTTTTGTCTTCAGCAAGTGAAGTGCATGCTCAATCGGATTCAGGTCAGGTGATTGACTTGACCATTGCATAACATTCCACTTCTTTCACTGCAATGATTCTTTCTTTCAAAAGCAACTCTTTGGTTGCTTTTGCAGTATGCTTTGGGTTGTTCTCCATCTGCACTATGAAGTGTCATTCAATGAGTTCTGAAGTATTTGGCTGAATATGAGCAATGAAATATTGCCTGAAACACATCCGGCTGCTTTTGTCAACAGTCACATCATCAACAAATACAAGAGAATAGAGCTGCACGATTCTGGCTAAAATGAGAATCACGATTTATTTGCTTAAAATAAAGATCATTCTGTATATGTAAAATAAAGATATGGTAAAAACAAACATATGGCACTACATAAATAATTCTATTCTACTTATAATAATTCTGATGTTGAATTATTATGTTTGAGATATATGCTTGCAATCTGTCATATTAGACAATTTTATTCACTGGTAAAATCAGACATTTGCCATTATCATATTATATTCAACAATATATAGGCTAGAGTAGTTATACCGACACTGTAAACATTTATTTTCATGCACAACTGTGGGTTTGCATTGAAAGAAAAAAAAAAAACATATCAAATGCTTGTCGTAATCATAACTCTAAAATGTGTTATGATCATTTAAATGAAGTGCACACTTTTGGATTCATTTTGACTGCTAAGTGCTTGTTCATGCTTGTTCATGCTTGTCCATACTTCTGAATATTATTTACAACTGTATAACCTGTTACTCGCAACATATGCAGGTTCTGTTCACTAAAGTAGACGCGTTCACTAAAGTAGCGCGCGCGCCCTCTCTGTGCTAACAGCTCACGGTCAGCAGCTCACATAACGTGTGATTTCCCGGCCTCAAAAACATCATTATATTTAGACAAAAATGACATTTTTAGGTGAATTAAACCTTATAAATACAGTATGTGACTCATTCAACATCATTTGGAGGTGTCAATGTCACTGAGCAAAAGACTTGTGCAGCCGCCTTTTCTTCTCTCCTGAACTTGAAAATATGATTGGCAGAATCGTAGAAATGCTGGATTAAGATCGTCTAGGGGTCAAATCGAGATCGCGATCTTTTAACTATTAATTGTGCAACTCTACAAGAGAACCAGTTCTATTGATAGCCATACATGCCCAGCCCACGACACTACCACCAACATGCTTCACTGCTTTTGATCATGAGCAGTTCCTTTCCTTCTCCATACTCTTCTCTTCCCATTACTCTAGTACAAGTTGATCTTGATCTCATCTGTCTAAAGGATATTGTTCCAGCACTGTGAAGGCTTTTTTAGAACTCTAATCTGGCCTGCCTGTTTTTAAGGGCTCACCAATGGTTTACATCTTGTGGTGAATCCTCTGTATTCACTCTGGTGTAGTCTTCTCTTGATTGTTGACTCTGACACACAACAGCCACCTCCTGAAGAGTGTTCTTGATTTAGCCAACTGTTGTGAAGGGCGTTTTCTTCACTAGGAAAAGAATTCTTCGGTCATCCACCTTAGTTGTTTCTGTGGTTTTCCGGGTCTTTTCGTGTTTCTAAGCTCACTGGTGTGTTCTTTCTATTTAAAAATGTTCCAAACAGTTGTTTTGGCCACACCTGGGGCCTCATGTATCAACGCGTACGCGTACGCCAGTTTCACGCTCAGAATCGCTCACGTTTGGATTTACTAACGATGAACTGAACGTGGGAATGTGCACAGCTTCACGGCAGCTTTCTGGCTGGCGTACGCACATTTTTTGTGCATGTCTGTTTTATTTCCATTGGCGACTCCTAGAGGCAGTTGTGTTAAATTCCTCTCTACAAAGTGTCTGAGCCATGCAATGGCAGCTGTATGAGACGGGTTCATCTAGCAGGTATGTAAGGTTTCTATACCATACAGTTGACCAGCTAAACATTAAAGCACAATTTGCAGCAGTCGCCTGTTTTCTCTTCATTTGCATGCGTAAATCAGAAACATTTCCATTCAATAAATGTGCAAATAAAATATGATGCACAAACTTATTGATGATTCCTACTTGTCTTTCTCGTGATAAATAGTGGGCAAAATCTGATATGTAGCGGGGAAAAAAAGAAGAAAGAGTTCATCAGACGCTGGATTCGAGCTGAGTTTATGCTCGAACGTGTCAATACATGATCACATGCGTCTTACGAGGTGCGCCACTGAGACTGCTAAGGGTACCGCAACATTTTACAGATATAAATCACACTATTTCTTTTTTTAATTCACTCAGTGCGATGTTCAGACCCAACTGTGTTAACCGCATCAGCTAAACTCTCCCACTCTATTTTTTTTCTTTTGTTGTTAATTCCGGAGAACAAACTTGCAAATAACACCGCTTTTCTCCGGTCTACCTCCGAAAGCAGCACCTCCATTTCACATTCTGTTCAAAGTTTCTCTTTTTGCTTGATTTTGCCATTGCTTTTTCGTTGGGTTTTGCCATTAGCATAGTCATTAGCATATTCATACGGGGGAGGAGGCAGGGATGGGTTTTGTGCTCGTGCATGTTGCGCTCAGTTTCACATTCATTCGGATGTACAAAAGAATATGCGTGAGATTCGGTGTACGCAGTGTTTCATACATCTGAATTTTTTTCTGCGTACGCACATTTACAGCTTTGTGCATACGCAATGTTTTAGTAAGATTTCCACGCAAGTCTTCGTACATGAGGCCCCTGATGTTTTTGCTATCTCACTGATGGGTTTGTTTTGTTTTTTCAGCCTAATGATGGCTTGCTTGACTGATAGTGACAGCTCTTTGGATCTTATCTTGAGAGTTGACCGTAATAGATTCCAAATGCAAATAGCACATTTAAAATGAATTCTGGACCTCTTATCTGCTCATTGTAGTTGGGATAATGAGGGAATAACACACATCTGGCCATGGAGCAGCTTATAAGCCAATTGTCCAATTACCTTTGGACCCTAAACAAGTGGGAGGCACATGTGCAAACTGTTGTAATTCCTACAGTGTTCACCTGATTTGGATGTAAATAACCTCGAATTAAAGCTGACAGTCTGCAGTTAAAGCACATCTTTTCGTTCCATTTCAAATGATCAGACGATTTAAGACAAAAATAGTGCAATGCTTTCCTTTAAGACTTTTCTGTTGGGTAGGATATAATACATTGCATTTTGATAACTGTAACCTAGTATTTGTTTGTGTTGCAGAGGGAAACTTATGCAGAACTGGGTCTTTCTTATGGACAGCTTGGTATAGACGATCACACTCATGTTCCTCCAGGTATTTTTTTTCTCATATTACCCATATTATATTTATGTAGATGGGGTGAGCTCCACTAGTGCCACACAGTTGTAGAGTGCTCCTCCAGTTTTAATGACTTACACAGAAGACTTTTCACTGACTAACCTGTTAGACAAGTCAACTGAAGTTTCACCTATACATACCCTGCTCTATATCTATAAGTCGTTATAGTGACACTTCAGTATAGGTACCAGTTCTAACTAGTTGTTTATTATGCTTAATTTTACACGTTTATTACTTATAAAGTCCAAATTCTACATCCCTAATCCTACCCAACAACTAAACTACCCTACTTTTATGTTTCATGAGGGAATAAAACGATTAATGCTTTGTTAATAGTGAGAATTTAACATTTAAATTTGGTGTGTAAGGCACGTTTTGAAGGAGCTACTGTATTTGTCATCATTTTTTTTGCATTCATCTGTTTTTCAAAGTATGAATGCTTGCAACAAAATCTAAAAAACGAGACGTCCTTCACTCATGTTGTCTATGACTATTATGGTTTTTCTTGTGCGAAGGATTTGTTTTGGCTGGGAAAATAAAAAAAACGTTTCTGAACTCTTCCAACAGCAGTTGATTTATTTATTGCTTGTATAATGTTCAGGATAATTAATTCAAGCTATACTTTCACATAGTCATTACTTGTGAGCTAAAGACTGGGCTACAAAACAACCTCCGAATTACAAAACAATGTTCTATTTTTCCAACTGAGACTTGTGCCTTTTCCTTTTGGCAGATATTGAAAAAGATAATCATGTCTGCAAGCAGTGTACACTTTAAAGGCACAATATGTACAATATTTTCATTGAAATATAGCATAAACCCTTGATCTTTCCAATTTGGTTTTATAGTAAATAAGAAAACACCAAAGACGCTTCAACATTTAGTTAATTTTTCATTTCGAATACTTTAGCTTATCCTTAAACATGATTTCTGCAGGTATCAGTAGAATGTAATGAACATGAGAAGATAATTCCACACCCAGTCATGGCATCATGGCAAACTACGCCGTTGTTTGTTGTGAATACAAACACTCTAGTGGTGTAGTTGTGTAATTACATTCTGTGCCTTTTGATGGACTGTATTTTAACCAAGGTAAACCATAGTAAATAATGTGAAATTAATCCTCAAATGTCACAAATGAGACTTTTAAGTAAGGAATAGTGTACTTCCATCCAGTTGTTATATAAAGGTCATCTGTATCGCTAATATGTGTGCTTTTTTTTATTCTACACACTGTTAATACTGTATTTAGTATGTAACTCCACTGTTAAGGTTACCTGCTCGGTTTGAAATATTTGTGTTGGTGGTTTGCACTCTGCTTTTCTATAGCTGACTGTCTCTCTGCTGTTTCCACCCAGATTTGTTTGAGAGTGAGCACATTCACATCGGAAAAAAAGGTAAAATTATACTGTTTCGGTCGTTATCATGACATGAATGCTTGTTTAATACTGCTTTATCACTGAGTCTTGTGGAGAATATTTGTTTGATGTTTGCCATTCCATTACTTTTTAACTAATACAGTCTGGTCAGATTTTGAAGGCAACACTGATATATCGTTCACTGCCTGCGATATACCACAATCCTGTGCATTTAAAGGAATAAAATGGTATCTTTTTTATCTTATAAAACTATGAGAAAAAAGTTTTTTTATACTGTATATACAGTTTAGCGCAAAATTATTATTCATCCTGTGTAATATATTTAGGTGATATTTAACGGAGCACCAAAATTTCCACAGTATTTCTGATCATATTTTTTTTTCTAGAGAAAGCCTTAATTGATTTATTTTGTCTGGAATAATTTATTTATTTTTTATTTTTTTATTTTACCAATTTTAAGATCAACATAATTAGTTACCTCTTATGCAATATTTAATTTGTGATTGTCTTTAGAACAAACCACTGTTATACAATGACTTGCCTAAAACTTTACCCTAATCAACCAAGTTAAGCCTTTAAATGTCACTTTAACCTGAATACTAGTATTTTGTAGAATAACTAGTCAAATATTATTAACTGTCATCATGGCAAATATAAAGTAAATCAGTTATTAGAAATTAAAACTATTAGTTTTAGAAATGTGTTGAAAAAATCTTCTCTTTGCTTAACAGAAAATTGGGGGAAAAATATAAAAGAATTCAAATTTAACATGTGGGCTAATAATTCTGACTTCAGCTCTATATACTGTATTTTTAAAAGAACGTGATGTGCTTATTCAGTAAGAATGCATTAAAAATTATCAGAAGTGACTGTAAAGTCATTTTAAAATGCTGTGAGCGTTAAATTACAAACAAACTATAATATAAAGCAGCTGTTTAAATTATTTGATAATAATAATAATAATTAAATGTTACTTGAGCATGAAAAAAGCATACTTCTAAATGATCAAATAACCCACAAAACATTAGTAAATACAAACTTTAGAACAGGTATTAAATGTATGGTTGGATTTTCTCACTTTAATTTGTTGTCTATCAGTAGACTTGATGTTATTGGTTATTTAAGGATGTGTCTTTATAAATAAAATGCTGCCTGTTTAGAAAGAACTCGGCTCTGGACACTTACGTGGATTAGTATGCTATATGAATTAACTTTGGAGTCTTTAGGAGCCTTTTCAAGAGTGTTTAGTAAATGCTATAAGGTTTGCTCTCCTGTTTTTCTGCATTCTGTAGTGGTGAGCGAGCAGGACAGTGCAGCGGCGCAGCAGTACAGCAGGCAGGGCTGCCCTACAGGCCTCAGGGCCCAACTCTGGAGCCTTATCCTGAATACCACTAATGATCCTGAGGTAATGATGACTAAAGATTGTAAGAAAGGGGATATCGTTGAAATGTTTTTTACATTTTATTTTTGTCTTAAACATCATTTAAAAATGGCAAAAGCCTAAGCAGCAGTGCTTAGATTAGTGCTGGGCAAAGATTAATCACATCCAAAATAAAAGTTTTGTTTTGACATGATATATGTGTGTGCATTATAGAAATGTATTATGTATATGTGAAACTCACATACATAAAACCAAACTATACACAAATAATTTGTTACATAGATGTTTAAATTTATGATTTGTAACATTTACATTTTATATCTGAATATTCATTTATTTTATTTTCGGTTTAGTCCCTATATTAATCAGGGGTCACGACAGCAGAATGAACCGTCAACTTATCCAGTAAATGTTTTATGCAGTGGAGGCCCTTCTAGTGGCAACCCAGCACTGGGAGACACCCATACACTCTCATTCACACACATACACTACAGACAATTTAGTGCATTCAATTCACCTATAGCTCATGTCTTTAGACTGTGGGGGAAACCGAAGCACCCCGAGGAAACGTACGTGAACACAGAGAGAACATGCAAACTCCACACAGAAATGCCAACTGACCCAGCCAAGGCTCGAACCAGCGACCTTCTTGCTATATGAGGTGACAGTGCTAACCACCCAGCCACTGTGTCACCTATATCTAAATCTAAATAAGCATTTTCTCAAATACATGCGTGCATGTGTGTATTTATATATACAGTACATAATAAATATACACGGTAAACACACACACACACACGCACACACACACACACGCACACACACACACACACACACACACACACACACACACACACATATATATATTATGGGTGTCAGATTAACATGCATTAAAAAATATGAACATTATTTTCCTTCATAATTAAATAATCTAATTAATGTGCTAAATTATCAGCCCAATAAAATGTAAAAAAATATAACAATTTATAGAATTGTACATAAGATTGTAATATACATCATACACTGTATATACTTTCTCTCTTTCATGCACATACAGTCATGCACAAATCCTCAAACATATGTGAAGCTACCATAAATATTTATGGACATTTAAACAAATGAAAGGATTTAATTGACATTTATGGCTCTTGTTGTGAACATTTTCCAGAACCGACATTTTATGGGTATTTATTTGTACTTATCGGTAGCTTTCATGGCTGAAATGTTCTATACGCTGTGTGTATTACAGCTTCAGATTACTAGAAATAAAAACATCACACTTTTTTGCGAGGGTTAATGGAAGTTAAAGATTAAAGGTGGATATATTTTTTTCAAAGTACATTCTGAAGCTGATCTTGAGCAAAATGACACTGAATATTTTGCATTCTAGGGGCTCTTTACAGCTACAAGAACCCTCGAGTACTTTTTTTTGAGATTTTAACAGATTTGTGTGTTAAGCATTAGTTAAGACGTAAGCACCTGTTATCTTTAATTGTGGGGAAAACTGGATCATTTTGAGCTTTTGTCAGATAATTTCATCTTCCAGGTTTGAACTCATTTTTGGAGTGGGATTAAAATAGGTGACGTAGTGATCGTCTGCCTGTCCAGAGATGACATGTCGGTATCTGATTATTATTCATAGACGAGTTTCTTATCCTGTAAAAAGACCCCGATTCTTAATTAATTATGAGCACATGCTTTCCAAAGACAGACCTGCCACGCTGTGAGACAGCGGCCATGCAAGGTACGCAGTATTTAGCCGTTCATGAAGGGTCGTAATTTGTTTCTATGATTCACAGGGTTTGTTGCATAGGTTTTCCCATGTTGTCCAGGTCAATACAGCAAAGTTGTTTGTGTGCAGCAAGCATTTTTGTCAAGAATGCTGTATGAGAATTGGAGAATGGCAGACTTTGTCTTTTATCAGTTCGTTACCATTCAGACACATCACTTATATCCATGCTGTTTTGTTTGCACATGTTTACAATCCTTCAGATTACCGGCAGGGCTAATGATTGAAATGGACATGGCAAGAGACCTGGGGCCTCATGTATCAACGCTGCGTACCCACAAAAACTTTGCGTACGCCAGGTTTCACGCTCAGAATTGCTCACGTTTGGATTTACTAACGATGAACTGAACATGGGAATGTGCGCAGCTCCACGCCAGCTTTATGGCTGGCGTACGCACATTTTTTGTGCTTGTCTGTTTTATTTTCATTGGCGACTCCTAGAGGCAGTTGTGTTAAATTCCTCTCTACAAAGTGTCTGAGCCTTGCAATGGCAGCTGTATGAGACGGGTTCATCTAGCAGATATAAGGTTTCCATACCATACAGTTGACCAGCTAAACATTAAAGCACAATTTGCAGCAGTCGCCTGTTTTCCAAATGTAATCTGAGCTATCTACTGCACACACAGTGCTATAAAGACACTATCTGAAGATGAATTTGCATGCGTGAATCAGAAACATTTCCATTCAATAAATGTGCAAATAAAATATGATGCACAAACTTATTAATGATTTCTACTTGTCTTTCTCGTCATAAATAGTTGGCAAAATCTGATATGTTGCGGGGGAAAAAAGAAGAAAGAGTTCATCAGACGCTGGATTCGAACCGAGTTCATGCTTGAACGTGTCAAAACATGTTGACTACGCCTTACGAGCTGTGCCACTGAGACTGTTAAGGGTACTGCAACATTTTACACCTATAAATCACACTATTTCTGTTGTAATTTACTCCACGATGTTCAGACCCAACTGTGTTAACCGCATCAGCTAAACTCTCCCACTCTATTTTTTTATTTTGTTGTTAATTCCGGAAAACGAACTTGCAAATAACACCGCTTTTCTCCGGTCTACCTCCGAAAGCAGCACCTCCAATTCACATTCTGTTCAAAGTTTCTCTTTTTGCTTGATTTTGCCATAGCTTTTTCGTTGGGTTTTGTCAATGTAGAGTCATTAGCATATTCATATGGGGGAGGAGGCAGGGATGGGTTTTGTGCTCGTGCATGTTGCGCTTAGTTTCACGTTCATTCTTATGTACAAAAGAATATGCATGAGATTCGGCGTACGCAGTGTTTCATACATCTGAATTTTTGAATGTGCGTACGCAATGTTTTAGTATGATTTCCATGCAAGTCTTCGTACATGAGGCCCCTGCTGCACTGCTGAATGGAGGACAGAATCCTTCTTATTTATAGTGTTTATATAATTATTTTTATAATGATATAACAAATAGTGGTTATGTGTAATTATATGAAATTACTAAATGTAGCAGGGCATTACTTACTGTTTATTTCTTTACATTTTAACTTAAAATCATATAACCCATGAAATCATGGGTCTCCTCACAGTTTGTCTCATTTTGTGCACCAACTGACAAAAGTTCGCTCCCCTCTTTCTCTTCTGCTCCGCTGGCTATGCCCACTCCTCCCTTTGCTCCCAAAGCCCATCATGACACCTTTTTTTTTAGTTCTGAGGTAGACTTGAACTGAAAGAGGGGGTTTCATGACTGAAATAGTGGTTATAATAAATGAAAAGTCACAGTGACTAAAAAAAGGCGATTCGTAGAGCTATGAAAAACACAAAATGCAATAAATGATGGAGAGTCTGGAGAAAAAAGTTATGCATCAAAGTATGATGGCTCAAATTTAGATATTTTAACCTACTCACAAATGTTCAAACTTTATTGGTGTTGTTCTCCTAAAAAGTATATCCTGAAATAATCTTTTCATTAGTCTAGACCAGGGGGGCCTAAACTTAGTCCTGGAGGGCCGGTGTCTTGCAAAGTTTAGTTCCAACCCCAATCAGACACACCTGGGCTAGCTAATCAAGCTCTTACTAGGCTTTCTAGAAACATCCTTGCAGGTGTGTTGAGGTAAGTTAGTTCTAAATCTGCGGATTTTAAATTGCTTGGAGAGCTTGTTACTTGAAGATTCAGGTGCAAAGTGCAAATCGCACGGAGAAAACGCATTAAGGGCGTGTCAGAATTCACTTTTGCTAATATAAGGATGGAAAAATCTGCTTTGCGCAGTGGCGCATGGTCTAAAAGGGTTGAGCTATTTTCTTAATGAGTGATAGGTGTGTTTTGAGAATAAACTAATCAGAGTCTCATCTCCCATTCCCTTTTAGAGCCAGGTGCGTTGCGCCATGGTGCATTTGTTATTTACATGACGACTTTGTAAGTGGAAAACTGACCGTTTCACTAGAAAGAAAATGGTTAAACAGAGCATCTACAATGCGAAAATGAGGGAAAAGGCCTCTTATTGTCTACTTTCACTTTTGCTCCCGTGGATAGAGAAACCTTTTATGCACAGACATCAATTAGTCTATAATTAATTAATTTTGTTTGTTAAGCACAAATATTTGTTTCAAAACTTCTAAATTCAGTTCTAATTTCCAGCAAACTAATAAATAAACAATAATAACTAAGTGTGGTCAAAAATCTGAGTTAAATACACATGCTGTGCCCCATATGGACTGAAACCTGACATATGGGCAAACCTAAGCTTTTTTTTATTAAACAAATATACATAAGGATATAATAAATAATACTGTTTATAATAATAACATTATACAAAAGCAAATTGTCACGAATAAACTAAAAAGCCCCCCGAGATGAAGATGGCATGAAAGTATGGTTTTTATATTTATGTAGGCTAGAAAATAAAGTTTTGTTATATTTTAATCCTTTATATTTATATCCTATATATATATATATATATATATATATATACTTATGATATCCTATATACCCTTAATATTTTAATTATTTTTCATATGTAAAGATATTTGCGTATCGCTCTACATCTTGTGTGTATTAAGCAGTGTGTAAGCAAGGCGCACAATTAACGCACTCTGCGCTGGACAATAGACCGGCTATGTTCTGGTCTATAGAAAAATCGCAGCGCACCAACAATGCGCCTCAGAACGCTTCCTTTTTAGACCAGAACGCCTATGGGTGCACAAATGAGCACAAATGCATTTGCCATTTAAACAGCGTGGCATAAAACGTCAAAACAACTCT